GCGCAGGTGCCAAGGTAAACCTTTGGCAAATATGACTGTGGTTGTGACTTAGATCCAGAGGAAAGCAGGGTTGAGACTTGAAACGCGACTGCAACCTACAGAGACAGTATTTTAAGTTTGAGGCAAACTTCAAGCCTCACATGTGACACTCCTAGCTGGTTTTAATGAGAAACAGGGTTGTCTCGTGATTCCTTGTAATTGCGTGATTGGAATCTTCCCTTGCCGGGTCCCTACACTTCACCAAGCTTCCAGCATCCTCCAAGTTTCTCCCCTTCCCTTTCCCTCCCCCGCGAAGAGGATGCTCAGATTCCAGCATTTCGCCATTCATCAACCGGTTCACACCGGTGGCGGCCGCCGTGAGGTGACGTCCACGGAGGGGGCGTGCTCTCGCCCCCGCTCGTCAGCTCAAGGCCCAGGATCCCGGGCCGCGATTGGTGGCAGGGGGTGCGCACGTAGCTCCGGCTATAAAACGGAGGGCTTGTGACGCAAGGGCGCCTCGGCTCGCGTATTGGCTCCTGTGGCTGCGGGCCGGCTAGGCGACGCGCTCTCCTCGGAGCCGCTCACTGCATGGTAGCCTGGTGCGCCCGCCGCCGCCTGCATCGCCACCGCCACCGCCGCCGCCGCCCCGCGACGACCACCGCCACCCCCTGCCCTGCAGCCGCCGCCACCGCCGCCGCTTGTATCGCCGCCGCCTCGGGACCGGCTGTATGATTAGGCCACAATCTTCAATGAGTAAACATATTCCTGTGAGTAGTCGTCGCGCCGCCGCCTCCGGGACTGGGAATCAGCGAGCGTCCCCCCCATCCCGCCTTTGCCTTTGTTCAGGGCCCTGACTTAGCTTCCCGCGGTCCCAGGTTGTGGCTGGGTTGGTCCCGAGTGAGCTAGCGGGTTACGATCCCGTGATCGGCCGGTAACGACCGGCTACTGGGAAACCAACGCCGGGCCCGTGGGGCTGCTGTATGGCGGTTGGCCGCCTGAAGCATCGACTTCCACGTCCCCGCCGAGCGCCGGGCTGTTGGGACCTTGCGGCCTCACCAGCGCGGCGGGCGGAGGCAGTTTCGACTGCCGCAGCGGGACGGGCGGGGTGGCACAAAAGCCGTTTTGTGACCGCCGCCCCTGCCCTCGGCCCTGGGGCCTGGCGCGCCGGGTTCAGGCTCAGTGGGTTCCGTGGCTCCCGAGGTCCCTTTGTTAAGCTTAAGGAGAGTGGCCGCACTCTAGCGGGAGACGTGGCCCGGGGTGGGGCGAGGGCTGCGCTTGTCACTGCGGAGCCGGATACGGGGAGGGCGCGGTGGCGGCGGGGTCGCCACCAGATCCGGGCCGGAGTGGGATAGGCGGGGCGGCCCAGCGCGGCTGGTAACGGTCTCTGCCCAGAGTTGTCGGAGCTCGGGGTCTGGCGCGGGACAGGAGCGTGGGGCAGCCACCCCCATGCTGCGAGGCCGGGACTAGAGCCTCAGACAAAATGGCCTCGGCGCCCGCGCCTTCAGTCAGGCGCGGCGCGAACCCGTGATTGCGGCGCGGAGAAGGGGCGAGGCGAGCGGGCGGGCCCGGGCGCGCACCGCCGCGTGCGTCGAGTGGCGGCCATCAGGGGCATTCCGGGAGCTTCCCTGGTTCCCGGGCCCGGCTCAGTTAGGTGAGGACACCGGCGCCCCGCCCCGCCCTGCCTTCTCCGGTCTCCACCTGGTAATTCGAGCTGTTCCGGATTTAACGTCCCACCCTCAGGCCCTGGATAATTGGAACAAGTCGAGTCTTGCCCTTTCTCTGGGCCACTCGTCAAGATAAATGACCTGGGTCTGAGCACTTTGGAAAGTGCCAGGGCTACTGAAGCGAAGGCGCCCCGGGCTGGGCACCAGCACGCATTTTTCCTGCCAATCTTGAAAGGGCCCTGGATGGCGCCTTTTAATCGGATACTACTTAGAATTGTTCTTGAAGTCCTTGCTTGTAATGTGTGGGTGACTCCTTTTGGCTTGTGGCAACAGTAGCCAACCAGAGCCAGAATTCTAAAGTTTATATTCTGTCGACGGAACTCGATACAATTCCAAGAGTATTAAGTTTTTATACTGCAGTTGGAATCCTCGATCGGCTTGAGATCCAGATTCGTGAGAGTGCTTCCTGTTATTCTCTTTATGTGTGTTTTGTTTGATGCTAGTTAATCAGTTGAAAACCCGAAAAGTAGATTCAAAAATAAGTGGCATTTTATACACTCTTTATTAGGTGTGATACCTGAAACCATAGTCTTTTGGCAAAGCGGTTGGTTCTATAGATTGACTTGATTCTGCAATCTGACTTAAGCTTCTCTACAAAAACTGCTCTCTTCTCCCTCATGTATATTAGATTGAATGCAACTGAAATGTGGAAGATATCCCTTTGTGTTTCTGAACCGACTATCATGGATAGGTTTTTTTGGTTTGTTTGTTTGTTTTCCCTGTGAGGAGGAAATTGAGAATAGGGGGATGTCTTGGGCTGAATAGAAAGATGACTGTGGTCACCCTGCTTTAATTGAAGTGTCCCCCCAGCCACTGGGTGGCTCCACAGTAAGAATAACCAGTACAGGAAATGAATTCTATATTGTTTTTCCCCACTTTCTTTGAAACTTCTTAAAAGCTTTACAGAGGTCTTTAATTCATTGTGTATTATCTGAAAAGTGCCAGAATGCTCCTATTATATCTAATTATTTAGGACTTAAGGTGAAATTAGATTACTACAGTCTGTGTTCATTGTAATGGTGATGTCTTCCTTGGTAATTTAAACAATTTTTTCTTAACCCAGCTGGCAAATAGGTGAAGTAACCTCCAAAGACTTATTAGAACAGTCTTGGACTAGGCATGGTGATACACACCTGTGATCTCAGGGGCTCTGGAACCTGAGGCAGGAGGATGGCAAATTCAAGGGTAGTTTGAGCAAATTAGCAAGATCCTAAAGGGCTGGGGTAATCTAGCGTAGAGGTAGAGCATCCCTGGGTTACCAAACAAAACTTTGGGAATTTTTAATAAACATGACTCCTTATGCTAAATCCTTTGTTTTACAGAAAAATAAACTAGTTCTTTAACTTTTTCTTTTTTGTGATCACCTGAATTCTTTGAAATTTAGCTGTAGTAAATTAGCACGGGCTCTATTTAAAGGTATAACTGAGTATGGAAGTAGACACTTCCATTTAATTTTAAGCCTTTTAAATATTTCAATTTAAGCATGGAAAGATAATTTGAGCCATTTTTGTTACTGTTACAAGGTTTTGTTGAGGTAAATTACTCTTTAATACATTTTGTTTGGGTCAGTGGCTCTCATTTAGAGCTCTTGTTAGCTTGTTATTAACATTTTCCTTATTCCATTCTTTACTTAATAAACTAACATTAACATTATGTACATATTCTGAAAATATCCTGTTGAGTATTCATTTGATTTTGATACTGGTATAAACCTGATTTAAAAGAGAACTTGCGTGAAAAATAAACATTATCTTGCTTTGAGACCTACGGAAAAACTCTAAGGTCCTTTCTACTACTCCCACTGGTACCTACCTCTTTTGTCTCTGAATTAGATTTGAGGTTTAGGCCAGCTAAGGGAATTTTTGGTTTTAAAATACAAGAAAGTATTAACATTATGAATAGTTTATAAATACAAAAGGGAAACATTTTGATACTTCACAATTAACTTCCCAAGAATTATTTTCCTACAGTCTGACATATTGTTGACATAATGGAAATGAGAAGTCCATGAGGTTAAGATAAAATGAGATAATGTGTGTGGAAAAACTTTGAAAACAAGTCCCCTTTCTCTTAAGAAAAGGATATATTGATTAGAGGAATAGATAAGTTTTATTTATAAGAGCCAGTTAATTTTATTCTAGACAGAGTAATGTGAGCTGTGTGTGAACTATCTCTGATTTTATTTTTACTTCAGTGTATTTTGAAACTTAAAGAGGAAGAAATGATAGCACAAAAGGAAAATATAGGTGTGACTTCAGATTTTTTTCACATTTAAGAACTAAATCTTCAAGGGCAATTATTGAGAAATAATTACATAAAGAAGTTTTTATTTATGTAGAATGGTCCATACAATTGACATCTCCACCTCACCCCTTTCAAAAATATCTTACTAGGGCTGGGGTTGTGGCTCTGTGGTAGAGTGCTCATCTCACATGTATGAGGCACTGGTTTTGATCCTCAGCACCACATAAAAATAAAATAAATGTATTGTGTACATCTACAACTAAAAAAAATATTTTAAAAAAAATGTCTTATAAAATCTTTAGTTGGACAAATCAATATAAGAAGTTGTACATATAGGTCATAAGAATTAAAACAGTCAAATATTGAGGAATAATTAACAGAAGAATATATATAAAGAAATTTTGCCAAGTATAACTAATGATTTCAAGGAATCTTTGTAATAAGTAATTTCATTCTAAAGGGTTTATGAGTGCTTGTTTTAGGCTTATTGGTTTACATTTGATTCAATTAAAAGTTAAAAAGATACCTTTGGCTCTAATTTGAAAAGATAGCTGTACACTTAAATGCTATAAAAGTGTAACATGTTTCTTCTGAATTGGAAAATAACTTTTTCTTTCTTTCTTTCCTTTTCTTTTAAACAGCAGTTCTGTGGTGTTCTTGGTCACACATTTATGGAGTTTCTGAAGGGCAGTGGAGATTACTGCCAGGCACAGCACGACCTCTATGCAGACAAGTGAACTGTAGAAATTCATTACTACTCCACCAAGAAGCCCCCATAAGAGTGGTTAACCTGGACACAGACGTATTGAATTGAAAATCCACCGAGCATTTTACAAGAGTTCTGACCTGGATGGGGTAAACCTCAGTGCACTTCCTTTCTATTGCCTCAGTATTACTGGATTGAAGAATTGCTGCTTCTTGTTAGGAGGTTCATTTCATTTCCCATTACTCCCAACTTCATACTCAAAGCACTGAGAATATCAAGTGGAGTATATTGAAGTAGACTTCAGTTACTTTGCATCATTTCTGTATTCAATTTTTTAAATTCTTTCATAACCCTATCGAGTGTTTTTTAACTAAATTAACATGGCTCGAATGAACCGCCCTGCTCCTGTGGAAGTCACATACAAGAACATGAGATTTCTTATTACACACAATCCAACCAATGCAACCTTAAACAAATTTATAGAGGTAAGATTTAATACATTATGATGTCTTAAATTGATTGTAGCTTAATAGTGGGATTTTTGTGTACTGTTTTTTAAGATGAGATGGCATACCTATGGTTCCAGTTCCCAGAAATGAAGTATCATTAGTTTGGGATAAATTGCTATAAAAATTTTGAGAAAGAATATACTTAATTTAGAACTCATAAATGAATAGTTCTTCAGGTTCGCCTATGTGTAGATAAACCCGGCACAAATGGTATACACCTGTAATTCCAGTGATTTGGGAGATTGAGGCAAGAGGATCACAAGTTTGAGGCCAGCCTGGGCAACTTAGTGAGACTGTCTCAATAGTAAAAATAAAAAGGACTAAGGATGTAGCTCAGTGATAAACACCCCTACATTCAATTCATTGTACTGCAAAAAAGAAAAAAACTATAACAATGTAGTCCTCACTTTTCTTGTGAGTAATTTTATAGGGGAAGGCTGCTATGTTTGGATTTTTTTTTTTTTTCATATGTCCTCTTAGCCTCATGCTATAACCATATAGGTTGTCTTGGGCCCCACTTGATGCTTAGAAGCTACTGATTCTGCTGCTTTCTGATGGCAGTTTTGTGGTCAATCCTGTTTAATACCTGTCTCAGCATCAGATTGTTTTTACTAGGAAGGAAGGAATATAATGCTGGGTAATTTATCTGGACATACACATTTTGTTTCATAGATATCTATAGGTGTACAAAAACAGCAAATAGGCCACTCAGATCATAGGAAAATACCACTTACATGTTTTTGTAATGTTAGGAGAATTATAATGAGTAGTAATGTATTTTAAAAGCTGTTGTATTAAATGATAAGGGTATTTTAAAAAACTATTCTCAGGATTTAAGAGTTTTTGCATATACTTGTAAGACTGATTTAGTTCCATGTTAAACATAGATAGGAGGTTCTACTGTTCTCTTCATGATGTTCTGTTAACCAGCATTCTCAGTGATCAGAAATTATCAAAATGGCAAATGATGAGTAACAGTAATACAGTTATGAAGATCTCATTAGGATTTTTTTTAATGTATATTTTATCCAGGAACTTAAGAAGTATGGTGTTACCACAATAGTAAGAGTATGTGAAGCAACCTATGACACTACTCTTGTAGAGAAAGAAGGCATCCATGTTCTTGTAAGTATTAATAGTTCCTGTGTGTTTAAGATAATGTGCTACAAGTTTTATTCAGATAAACCACAGACCTCAAGAAGCCTAATTTTAAAAGTTTTGTAAGATTTTATGCAATAAAAATTTCAAATATAAAGGTGAAATCTAAGCAAAGGTATGAAGTAACTAAAAAATTTTTATAGGGCTGGGGATGTGGTTCAAGAGGTAGCGCGCTCGCCTGGCATACATGCGGCCCGGGTTCGATCCTCAGCACCACATACAAACAAAGATGCTGTGTCCACCGATAACTAAAAAAAAAAATAAAAAATTTTATAATGATTCAACATTTAGTTACATTTCATTGACAATGGGAGTTAATAAAACATGTGATTAACCTTTAAGATCTAATATATTTAAACATTCTTTTGACTTAGGATTGGCCTTTTGATGATGGTGCACCACCGTCCAACCAAATTGTCGATGACTGGTTAAGTCTTGTAAAAATTAAGTTTCGTGAAGAACCTGGTTGTTGTATTGCTGTTCATTGTGTTGCAGGCCTTGGGAGGTAAGAGCAATTCTTCATTTGGTTCCAGAGAAACATCTATATTGATATATAAAAACACTGGTATTTGCCGGGTATAGTGGGGCACACCTAAAATCTCATTGCTTGAGACTGAGACAGAAGGATCACAAGTTGAAGGCCAGCTTGGGCAATTGTTTTTTGTATTTTTGGGGAGAGAGGGTACTGGGAATTTAATTTAGGGCTCTCAAACACATCACCAGCCCTATTTTATATTTTATTTAGAGACAGGGTCTCTAAATAAGTTGCTTAGTGCCTCTCCAAGTTGTGGAGACTGGCTTTGAACTCACCATCCTCTTGTCTCATCCTCCTGAACCGCTGGGATTACAGACGTGGCACCATGCCCAGCTCAGTTTTTTTTTTTTTTTAAATCATGAAGTCAACATGTAACATATAGGTATAACTTAAATATGATGATGGATAATTATACTTCAGGACTTGATTTTGAAATTTTGACTGATTAAAATTCTTAACCTTTCTAGAGCTCCAGTGCTTGTTGCCCTGGCATTGATTGAAGGCGGAATGAAATATGAAGATGCAGTACAATTCATAAGACAGTAAGTTGTGAAATCTCTCTTTATTTCCTTGTTGAAGGTGTCAGTAAGTTTTAAATGTATTATAAATTGCCCTTGTGATTTTTATCTTTTTTTTAAGATAATAATATCCCCTTCTTTATAGTCCATGCAGATGCTCATACTACTAAGATTCTAATCCAGCAGCATCATTTGAATTATTATTTTGCTTTAAATTACTGATTGAATATGCTATTGTTGATACATATTTTATTGAAGTATAATTAGATATAGTTAAGAATACATGAGTCTCAACAGCTCAGTTGACAATAGCTAAATAAAATAACGATCTGAAGCAATCTCTATCACTGTAAAATTAGTTTGTCCTTTCCTTCCAGAAAGCGGCGTGGAGCCTTTAACAGCAAGCAACTTTTGTATTTGGAGAAGTATCGTCCTAAAATGCGGCTGCGCTTCAAAGACTCCAATGGTCATAGAAACAACTGTTGCATTCAATAAAACTCGGGCGCCTGATGCTATTGCCTTGGAAGTGGAACTTAAGACGGGACCTAATTTGTCATATATCAGCCAACATGTTGGCGTGGTGAATAAGTCTGATGAAGCTTCCATAGGAGTATTGGAGAGCAGTTTTACCAGGCCACAAGCTTGACAGAATTTCAACCTCTATGTTTGGGTTATGATCAACCTGTTTGGACACTTAGCAAAAGATTCTTGCTGTTCACAATTTAAAATGTGCTTATCATTTGTACCAGTTGACCTTTCCTGAAATCATGCAGTATTGAGTTAATGTCTTTAAATCTATTTCCATGCCAGAATCTTACATAAGAAATTTAGAAAGATTAGGTGCCAAAATACCCAGCACAATACTTGTATATTTTTAGTATCATACAAAACCAAAATTCCAGGAACTAAGAACACTCTAGACCTTATGTGATTTATTCCTTCAGTCATTTCAAACATTGTAGGCCCTATATGATTATTTGCCTGCTCTTTTTATGTTTACATCTCCCACATTCAAACCAGTATACATCAGGTTTGCTTTTACCTATTGGGATTTTTTGTTTGTTTTTTTTCCTTTTACCAAGTCTTACAGCAATTATTTTTATTTAATATCTTTCTATAAGTCTTTATTTTTGCTGTTATGGGAAACCTCCATTTTGAAAACCTAAGTTTTTACAGAAGCACATGTCTTTAAGTCTCCAGACAAAAAAAAAAGCCTTACAGTTAATTTAATGTTTGCACTCTGAGGTGCAACTTAACAGGGAGGGCCTGAAAAAAAGAATGGGAGGGGGCTATTAAATATTTTTAGTAAAATGTTGCCTTTGTCTCGTGCAGAACCTGTAGAATATATGCTCTTTAATTTAGTAAATATTTTTTTAAAAGGTAGAGATGCTCTGTTATTGTAGGTAAAACAATTCTTAATCATAAAGTTTCTGAAATTCTTGTATTTTTTTTCATAATTATCAGAAGTTGTTTACCAACTTTTTGTTTGAAGTGTGATTTTTTTTTTTTCTTTTATTCCCAACCTCTTGCAAAAAAAGAAAAAAGTGGGTTTCTGCTGATGAATTGAGCAGACATCTAATATTTTATATGCCTTTTGAGCTGTGTAACTTAATATTTGGATACTTGATAATTTTGTTTTATTATGTAATTGATAAAATGGTGATGTGTATTAATGTTAGTTCAACCATATATTTATACTGTCTGGGAATGTGTGGTTATAGTTCTGTGGGAGAAATAATTTGTCAGTGTTCACCAGCTTGTAAAAACTTAGTGCGAGAGCTTAAACATCTAAATAAATAATGAAATGCATTTATCATCACTGAGATTGTTTTGCTTAAAGTTAAAAATTTGTAGTAAACAATGAATTGCACTTCACTTAATACCATTTGTAACATGTGTCCACATTTTTTTTTTTAACAAATGAAGGAGTAAATGAAATCAGTATTTTGGTAATCTCTGAATTGTTCTAAGGTCCTGAACACTGTTTAATACTAAACACTTTTCATTACAAACTCTTTAAGGGTCTAGATAATTTTGAACCAGTTTATGTATTGTGTACTGAGAAGAAACCATGTATAGTAGAGAAAGGCCTTGATTTAAAGTTCACTTCTAATTATTAGTGGTTTTGTGCAGCTTACCTTCCAAGATTCAGTTTTTCTTTTTTGCAAATACATACCTTTATATAAAGATTTTGGAAATTAACTTGAACCCAAGTATTTGGCACATGAGCGCTTAATAAATGTTAAATTTTTTTTCAGTAATCTGAAATACTTCACACACTTAAAGGGACAGATGTCCTTGTCTTTATAAATGCAAACAACTCCATTTGAGTAAAAAGGTTATATTACACTGTGTTTTCAAGAATTGTTTGTCTTCATGCCAGTCTAACACTTAATATGGATATATCCATTTTTTAAATTAGCAAGGGCCAAGGAATAACAGGCCTCTCTAGGCCCTGCTCCTTCAAATCTTACATCATCTATGAGTGGGGCAAGTTATTTTACCTGAGCTATTTTGTATACTGTTTTTAAAAAATACAGCATATTCTAGATGAAAAGATAATTTTTGTGTAGTCTATTACTGAATAATATGTTATCACCACATAGCCCCATCAAACTTCATTTTGGGGAGAAAAAAGTGCCATCATGATTAATGAAAAAAATCTGTTAAGTTTGAAAAGTTGAATTAATTTGCAGTGTTGATTGTATATATTTGGTGCTAAAAATCACTTTATAAACATCTGTACAGTATCAAATATTTTGTATCTTGTAAATATGGCTAGTTATAGGAATACCTGTAATACATCCTAACCAATCCCTTATGTCTAATGAGATTTTAAGGAATTGTGAGTTGGTCTTGAATGCAGGAAGTTTACCAGATGGTATTCTAAAATTTGGTCACTTGGGTTTGGATATCTTTAGTGGGATGATATATATATAGTGACTAGTTGCCTAGGCTTGTCTATTGGAACCATGTTGACTATAGGAAATGTGATTGCTAAATGATAATGAGAAACTGCAATCTCCTTTTAGTGAGAGGAAAACCTGGAAATTGGGTGCCACTGTTCATTTTGCAGTGTTCTGCAACCTTCATTTGTTTTCTCAGTGCCCACTTAGGGCAATGCTCTCCTATTCCTACACCTTAACAGCCTCCCATCCTGGTATGTGATCACAGCTGATCACATTCCCCTTCAAAATGATGCTGTGGTTCCCAAAATCTCAATCTCTGGGGATCTGTTTTTCAGTGTCATTCATTTGACAAAAAGCCTACTGTTTGCCAGGTATTTAAGAGTATTGCAGAGAACATAAAAGATGGTGTCAGCCAATTCTGATCACCAAATTCTGATCGAAATTAGAGAATGCTTTCTGTTGAGTTTCAGGAAATGTAATTTGGTGAGAATACTTCAAATGGAAGTAGCAATATACGTGGCAATGATTTCTTTTTTTTACATGTAATCAAATTCTTAGATGTTTTAAAAAGTACATGAAGTATAGTAGTATCTGCCATACATGTTTATACCCCACATTCTTGATTCCTTGAATTAATGTTTGTATTTATGTGCTTTCTTACACCTGAATTGAAATTAAAGACTGGTTTAAAAGTGTCTGACACAATGTTTCCGCATTACCTTTTGGGATAACCAGCCTTATGGAGAATCTTAAAAGAAAAAGAATAGAAAATTATATTAACCTTCAATGAACTAAGCCAGTTAACATGCATTTGGAGAGAAATGAAAAAACTGACCATAATTCTGTAATTTGATAAATAATACCAGTTAATTGGTATAGTTATAACTACCATTTATTAAGAATCTTACTGCTGGATAATTTTTGTAATCTGAGATCCTTCCAATAACATGTTCTATAATAGTTGTACCAATTTTATACACAAAGGATGACCCTCCAGTTAGGTGACTAGCTAATAAGATATAGAACTCAGGAATTCAACCCTGTGTTCAAATCGGTCCACTGAACCACACAATCTAATATGAATATGTGCCTATCTTGTGTAAGCAATTGTTAAAAGCTTTTGAGTTCTTGAACTCAACTATTAAAATCACTCATTTTCATTAAAGACAAAATTTCTTCCTAAAGACTATATAAACCCTCTTGTAATTTTTTCCACCCAAACCCCCTTTCTTTTTGCAGAGAAACTTGAAATTTAAGTAAGAATAAATTGTAACAACTCTGCAGTCTCAGTAACAATATTTTTGACATGTAAAATATTTATCTCCCTTTTAAATTTCATATCTGTCATAGGAGCCCAAACTGATGGGACATCTAAACAGTGCTGGTTAAGATGGAAGGCAAAAAGGGTTTTGGGATGTCTCATGGTGACTGAACAGAACTGGTCACACAGCCACCCAGCAAAGGAAACTTTACTAAGGGGAAAGCCAGAAGTACATAGCATTAATTGCTACTACATCAGCATTTGTTAAGAGTACATCCACAGCAACACTTCATAACAAATGAAATATCAAGTACAAGGGGATGAAATTTCCAAGCACCAAAATGGGTATGAAATTCAGGCACTAAAACATACTATACATAATTATATACTATAATTATATATGTAATTTTTTATATATAATATATAATTTTTTATCATAAGAACTTATTTAATCTTACTTTAGATATGATTTTAGCCAACTTGGGTAATTTTGATTACCTATCAGAACAGAGGTGGTAAAAAAATGGCAGAGCACAGGGGAAAAAAAGCATATGGGTAGCAAGCAGACACTTAACAGCCTGATACTGAGGACTAAATTATGAAAATTCAAAAAGCACATCCATTTGGAACAAGTCGATTCTATGACTAAATCCTTAGGCTTATATACAATAAAACAATTATAACAATTACCCATAGTCATCAAGAACATTAATTATTGTTTTTACAGTAAGGAATTTTATAATCCAGTATTTTCAAGGAATGTTCTTAAATGCCAATTTTTTTTTCTGTAGAGTCCTTAACATTCTAATGAGAATTTTAAATTCAAGAAAACAATATGGTATTTAACCATTGTGTAAATCAACATCCCCCCCCAAAAGAAATGATGCACTGTCAGTGAGTAGTTGAGCAGTTAACAAGGGAAGTTATGTTACCGTTATCAACTCCCAGCTTAAAAGGGGGTAGAGGGGAAAACTGACCAGAACTGCAGCGAAGTGTTAAATGAGAGGATGGCCTAAAAGATACTGTGAACTTAGAAGACAAACCAACTAGTAGCAATCCAGTACTAAGAAATAAACCTATCCTCATTTCACTGTCCACTTTGATGTCTTGTTTTGGTCTCCCTTCTCTTCTGCATCTGCCCCTTTAGCCAAATCTAATAGGAAGAGGGCAAAGGAGCCAGCAGTGTATACTGATAGCCTTTTGGATGCAGAGCAGAAAATACTCAAGTGGGAAACAAAATAATCATGTACCATAATCAGATCTTCCTCACAGATGATTAAGGAAGGACTAATGTTCTGCAGAATGCCCTGGGAAACGTTGACATTAAGATATCCAAACTGGGCTAGGGCTGTAGCTCAGTGGTAAAGCACTTGCATCACACATGTGAGACACTGGGTTCAGTCCTCAGCACCACATAAAAAGTGTGTCCATTTACAACTAAAAAAAATTTTTTACGTATATCCAAACTGACACATCTGCACACTTTTTAAATATAGTTTAATGCATTAAAATAGCAAACCTAAGGACCAGTGCAGAATATAGAACGTTAAAAATATGTACTTGTACACAGGACAACTCAGAAAAGTGTATAGTGAATGAATGTATTCTGTAATAAAAATGCTACAAACACCATTTAGTTAAGACATTTCCTTGTTTAAAAAAAAAAAAAGTCCATGGGGGTAGAAAAGATGGTGGAATGAGATGGACATCATTACCCTAAGCACACGAATGAAGACACAGATGGTGTGAATATACTTTGTATACAACCAGAGATATGAAAAAATATGCTCTATATATGTAATATGAATGGTAATGCATTCTGCTGTCTTATATAACAGAATAAAAAAATAAATGCCAATGGAGTAAAAAGGGGAAAAAAAGGTTCAAGTGTTAGCATTGTCTAGAAAAATTTAACAGGTTTATTTACAAGTATAAGTTGAACTGCTGAAATTTGTTCATTGAAACATTCTGACTTGCATTAGTGAATTAGTATAAATTCACACAGTTGAAAATGAAAAAAAAAATGATTTCTGTTTCCTTTTCTTCCACTTGCAATAATATATTTACGTAGCCTCAAGGGGAGGTGGGAAATATCTAACATTCAGACATTCAGAACTAACAGAAGAGGGGAAAAAATGAGAATGAAATGTTTACCATCATATTGAATTCTTAAGCATGTTCACATACGCGGCATGATAGTTGGATGTCTTGTCATAATTGTTACACGTTTGGCATGGACAGCACACGTTCAATCTTCTGCAGAGCACCAATAGCTGCGCTGCAGAAGAGCAAATCTGTTTTGAAGTCCTGAGTAATTTTTCGCACCAGACGCTGGAATTTGCCAATCAAAAGTCCAGTGGCGGTCTCTTCACCACTCCAGTAGAGGGCGCACTCTCTAGCGGCTCTTTAGCTGGTTGCTTCCAGGCGCTTTACTGCAGATCGACTTGAGGACAGTCGCCTCTGTGAAGTGGTGGTAGAAGACCATACTTACCCGCCATCTTAGGCTGGAGCTCCACAAGCTAGAGAGACTGCTGCGTTGAAGAGCAACAACCTGCATACCTTTTTTGAAACAATGTAATGGAAGCATCTACATTAATAGAAAAGCATTTCATTTCAATTTAATGGATCAAGTGTTGATTTTAGTTTCCA